AACTGGATTACTAGGAAAAGATACTGTTTAAAATATCCATGTTTAAGAAGCTAGATTTTAGAAAAAAATAATTTGTTTTAGAAAGATTTATTTGGAAAGATTTCTATCAGAAACGATTTAAATAAAAACTACACTTCGATCCTTAAAGGCAGAGCCCTGAGTTGTTTAGTGGTGATGCAATGAACCTGAGCTTTAGAATCAGTTAGTTTGGAGTCTGGGATTCAGCAAGTTTGATATTAATTCTCATTTTCCTCATCTGTAAAATGCGGTTGATATGCCTACCTAAAATGATACTGTAATGAAGATTAAATTAATGAAGTGATGTATTCTAAGTGGCACACAGTAAATATTCAGTATGTGCTAGTTGTCTTAGTGAAACAACTCATTCCCCATGTTGTTGTGTTGCTAGATGCCATCGAGTCGATTCCGACTAAATTGTGAGCCCGTGTGACAGAAAAGAACTGCTCCATAGGGTTTCCTTGATCAAACTCATTGCTAGCGGGTTGATTCCAGCTTAGAGTGACCCTGTAGGACAGAGTAGCACTGCCCCGTAGGGTTTCCAAGGCTGTAAATCTTTATGGAAGCAGACTGTCACATCCTTCTCTCACATGGCTGCTGGTGGGTTCAAACTACCGACGTTTCGGTTAGCAGCCGAGTGCTTAACCACTGTGCCACCAGGGCTCCTTATGTAAAGGATCCTTCCTGAGTTTATCTTATGTGTGGTTAGGCGACATTGTTCAGTCACGGGGCAAGAAGACCCCCGGTAGGAATCTGACCCCCCACTCTTGCCCTGTACTTTCTCAGGGCTATGAATTGGAAGGCCTGCAGACCAGGAAAAATCTGTGTAACAATCTTAGGGCAGTCAGCTCGGTGTCATGACTCGTGCTGGTCCTTGGCTTTCGTGAGAGATGGCTGCTACCTCACATTAGGAAAGGACAGAATTAGCAGAGTGTTTGTCAACTATAATTCTTGACGTTTTAACAGGCCTTTCAACTAAAGCATCGTAAGACACTATGGTGGAAACGCAGAAATACCAGAACAATTATTCCCTTTTATTTGACACAGCTTATGCTTACTTTCCAATAGTCGGCTGCTTTTGATCTACAAGAAGGACAAGTGCATTTCTATCACTTGTTGTCATTAGTTGCCAAGTAGTCAATTTCAACTTATGTGTGCAGAGCAGAACTTCTCCATAAGGTTTTCAAGCCTGTGACCTTTCAGAAGCAGACCGCTAGACCTGTCTTCTGAGATGTCTCTGGGAGGGTTTGAACCACCAACCTTTTGCTTAGTAGTCAAGTACTTAACCTTTTGTGCCACCCAGGGGCTCCCTGGACCAACCTAATAATAAATGAAAATTAACTGATTATCTGCCTCGCTGTATTTATAGAAAGGAGACAAGGAATAAATTGGATGGATGGAGTTGACTATTCTGTATTATATATTTGTCAAATAGTTTCTATAAAGAAAATCTTATAAAGGTGTATTTTAGGTGAGGACATAAAGTTGTCGGTCATATTGCTGTCCTCGTAGGCTTAGCTTCACATCCAGAAGCTAGTTCCTCCCATTCAGGAGGGATTCAGATCTGAACACCATGCAATTCCAGTTTCCCAACAGGAGATTAGTTCCTATTTTCTAATCAATATTGTGCATTTCCAAATTGCACTGAGTCGTCATTGTGCTTTCTATATTTGTGACTTTTTGACTTTCCTGAGCCCTGAGAATTATTTCTGCCCCTGGGTAACTGGTAGATAACGGGACTTTCACTGACATTGTAAAAGTAGCTGAGCAATGGACTTAGATGGACAGAACTGCTTTTCCTTAAATAAGCCTCTTGATTTTATTTTGACTTTAAAGATTTTATTATAAAACATTAGCATACCTTGAACTTACTAACTGTAGATTTTGCTGTAGTACAAGTAGCAATTAATGAAGTAAGTTTTACTGGTATCTTTAGAGACTAACCATTAAGCCCCAAGGTTTGTCAGACTCTGCAGATTTGTGCCTTTCTACTTTAAGAAGCCATTTTATCCAAACAGAATCTCTCGGCTACGTTGTCTAATGGCACCAATTCGGAATCATCAGCTAAATGAATTGTTTCACGTGGTTGGTCTTTAGACTGTTATCAGTCGTAATGGAATCACTGAGTTGAGAGCAATAAACCGGATGTGCTTCTAACATATTCTGACCAAACGTTATACCTGCCGTTCTTAAAGACTACCACAGAACAAGTGTTGATGAATCTCAGTGCCCTCAAAAGAAATAATCTAGGACACTTTCAAAATGCTTCAGAATCTGAAAAATCATCATAGATACTGCCTTTTAAATACTATTCCAGTGTCCCATGTTTTTAAAAGAGAAACTGGGAATTTGGAATATTTTCCCAAAGTTTTAAAGCCCATAAATCAGAGAGAAATGAGTAAAATGCATGTTTCTCATGTCTAGGACTCATGTATTATGATAAGGGTTAAAAATTTGGATCCCTACACCAAGACCAAGGAGCCCTGGTGACAGTGGTCAAGCGCTTGACTGCTAACCAAGAGGTCGGCATTTGGAATCCACCACCGGCTGCTCCATGGGAGAAAGACATGTCCGTCCTCTTCTGTAAGATTACAGCCTTGGAAATCCTACGAGGCAGTTCTCCTCTGCTCTGCAGGGTTGCTATGAGTCACAACACCACCAGCTCCACAGAGGTACCCAGATGAATGGAGATGGGATGAGGGCTTAGTGTCAGAAAGGGAGAGAGAGGTAGAAATGTGGTGAATTTGAAAGCAAATGGCCTTCTAAAGGGGCCAACCACCACTTAGCTCCACTGATTGTTGTCATACAGGAATGTGGTTCCAGAAAAGCCATATATTGTGATTTTTTCCAGCAAATTCAGATGTGTAGAGTTCTTTGTGAAATAATCAGTTATTTAAATGTTGGTAACTAATTCAAATTTTAAGCCCTGTGGGTCAAAGAAAACATATCTGTGGGGTGTCCGTAAGCAACCTCTGGATTAAATTCTAGTATCCCCTGCAGATATAGAAGTGCTATTAAAATGGAAGGAGGTTGACATGCTGTCCTTTATCAATATCTATGATAAATCAAAGGAAATGTTTTAAAAAGGAAACTAGGCTATTTCATTAATCAGCAGTTAGGAGTCCGTGAGATTGCTGCAATATATTCATTATTATGAAGATTGAAAAACAGAGATGCAGTCGCTGGATCTCTCTGGTTTATAAAGAAGCTAGTTGAGAAAGAGAGCATTTCCTGATAGGGTTAGGAATCGCTGAGCATTGTAAATTAAGAAGATAGATAATATTAAGAAAGTATCAAGGCTGTATTTTAAGGGGTGATTCTACAAAAGCTGAAGGAGAGTAAGGTGACCGTTGAGGATGTCCAGCATCCTATTTTGTTTATTATACAAAAAAAAAAAAAAAAAGGCGGAAGATAGTGTGGAGAAGAAAGTTTGAATATTTTATCATCCTAGGTTGTTGGTCTCAAATTGCAATATTATGTTTGACAAAATTGAAATGAAAATGTTATATGGATGGAGGGTGCAAAAAACCCACCCAAAATAAAAAACAAAAAACCATGGATAAATACGCAGATGTTATGAAACAATTTGCAGTTCCCTGAGGGGTGAGAAGAGAAATTCACAGAATCTCAGAGCACAGTGTGTCGGTTAACTACGCCACAGCACCCAGCATTTGTTCAGTGGACAAAGCAAAGGGCAAGGGAGAAGGGCCCACCTCTATTTCTGGCACTGATTGCTCTGGGACCTAGAGGATCAGAGCGTCACCTTTTGACAGTCAGGTCATCCCATATGTTATCTCAGAGCCATTTTGTGCATCGTTTTTGATATCTGTAAATCATTTGTAGATTTTTAAAACAGAGCTACCACAAAAGCAGGGCACGTTGTTACCGATTCTCCATAATTTACTGAATTAATGAAGAATGTCAGTGATCAGCCACCAATCAGGTACCTGGTGGAATTTTCTTGTTTGTTTTTCATTTATGCTCAGCCTTGAACCTATTATTTTCTTTCCAGCAATGTTCTTCCTATTCACTGTTGCTTTGCATTTAATTTAAATGAGAAACAGCTCCAGGCACATCCAGTATTTAAATTGCAGTCTCTATATTCTCCTTTGGAAATTGAGGCATCTGTGTTTGTAAGGCTTCAGTTAGGCAGAAAGATGAATAAGTTAAATGCAATATTCCAGAGCCAAGCTAGTAAGCATGAATTATATAAAACTCATTGTCTGTGTTTGCATTCTTTACAAGTTGTCCTTTGCTAGCTTCGAGGGGGATACTAAGTTTATATTTGACTCACATTCTTACCATCATTTAGGAAAAATATTAAATTAATGACGAATTTGAATGTAAAGAAAATAAATAGATAAAAATACACTTACCTCTTTCTTACAGTTTGATGCACAATATGGGAAATAATACTTTTTCTTTCCACCTACTCTAGCTGTACATGAACCATCAAACCAAATTCCCAAATAAAAGAAAATGTATAAAATAGCCCACACCTTTGCAGAAGAAATAATTCTCATCTATTACCTAATGCCTGATTTTCAAAAAACTAGATGAGTTCGTGTAGTTTAATATAATCGGTTATCTAACCTTCTTGGGACTCGACCTCAGCGGTTACAACATTCTCACAGTTTCCATCAATTTCATTATGTAGAATTACGAGTGTATTTTGCGTATATATACATATGTATCCTTATATATGTCTGCCTGTCTGTCTATCTGTCTATGTATCATCTATCTACCTATCTGAGTTGTGGAAAGTGATATAGAAATCAGAGACCCTAGAATATAAAAGAGAAGAAAGGAAGGATTATCTGAAAAGGCTTGGCTGTGTTTTACGTCCTGCACTCAACACAGGACATGTACCCCTTGTGGATATTAGCACCCCAACAGAATCTCATTGGGAAAGGAAATGGATTTGTAAAACAAGCCTGCTTTGCACACTCTGCCTCTCAAACCGATTCCTGTGGATACTGTACCTTCCGGAGGGGCTTGAGCTTGGTCTCCATTACGAAGTCATATTTGCAGAGCTCACAGCAGCGCGTGTCAGAGCTCTTGATCCACTGGTGGAGGCAGGACTGGTGGACAAAGCGCAGGGTGCCCGTGCAGCGACAGGGGGTGATGAGGGGGCTCTCTTCATCCCCTTCGCAGTGACAGATCCTGGGGAAGGACACAGCAGCAGTGTGAGATCTCCCAGAGGGCATTCTCATCAGTGGATCTCCACCCTGCTTACACCAGACTGTACTAGAAGCTGCAACTTGAGGCTTACAGCAAAAGGGCGTTTCACCCCAGCTCTGACCTGCAGCCAAGTTACGATTCTAGCAACTTCCTCTCACTTGCGGGGCCAGTGCTGGACCCTTCAGTCATGTTGTAAGCTGTTAGGTTCTGGAACATCAGAAACGCACTGTCATTTCATTCCTGCACTACAACTACTGAGCTATGCAGTGTCTACGGGTGAGCCTTCATATGTAAAAGTCACGGTTTATAAACATTCTGAAGAGTGCAGTAGTCTGATAACTTCATTGTTTTATTTTGATATTGGTTCTGTAGGTTCATGGTGTAAGAATGTGGAAAATCTGAAAAATTTTAAGGAGACTATAGACACTCAATCTGAGAATATTATAAAGTTTTCCTAGGAAGATGTACGCATATTTGGTCACAATGAATAGCCTAAACTGACGATAGTCATCACTGTTTATAATTCACACGAATTACCAAGTTCAAATACAGTAAGTTGCATTGCTTGAAAATGTTAATTGCTACATCTCCCAGTAAATGCAATGTTCAACTAGTTTCTGAATTACCATGGATTCTAGTTTTGTAGATTTAGAGTTTATAATGTCTTCATTATTCTTATATTCAAATTATTTGACATATATATTTTTTCCCCTTTGGATGAGGAATAAGCCTTTCTTATCTCTAGGCTATACATTCAAATTGTAGGCCTTCAAATAATTCTTAAAATTTAGACAGCTGTTAAAAGTTGGTAATAAATTTAATTGGAAATATTGCTTTAAATCTGTTAGAAATATGAATGTAACATATGAAAAAATATAAAAATGTATACATTCACTTTTTTTGAGCTGAGTCACACTGGCAGACTGGAAGAATGTGTGAATTGCTGCTACTGTTCTTCCTTTAAGGCCTGTAGGCTCCATTCTCCAGAAGCATGCGCTGTAAAGAATTATGTAGAGATGCACACAGCTACCTCAGCCTTCTCCCCAGAGCATGGGAAACGGCTTCTCAGATGGCTACTGTGATAAGACACAGGAATTGAAACCCAACACTCCCCCAACTTCAAAATAAAGAAGTGTGACATAGTCTACTGGAATTCTGAACCTCTTTTCTTAAGTGAAAATAAAGTAAGCAGAAAGGAACAAACTTCTAGGATCCCTGGGGTGCAAAGGAGGGCTGAGAGCCCAAGGAAGTTCACCTCAGCGCCCGCCCTCCCCCGGGCTGGGTTAGGAAGTAGCCATGGTGGATGTAGCCGCACATATAAAAGGCCAACATGGAGGAAAAATACAAATTATCTGAGAGGTTATTGTTTTTTATGGAAGCCCTGAATATCTCCTCCCTCCAAACCTATACGTCCTACAGATCAGGAACTGGGCTATTATCACACTGTGTTTCACAACTCGCTGCCAGAAGAGTGTTGGTCACATTACAGGAGCTCGGCAGATAAAGCAATTATTCAGCCAACAAACTAGGGTATAAAAAGAACCAGTGAAAGCAAATTTAGGCTTCTAAAACAGTTCTTTGGCTGCAATGTTTAAATCCACTGAAATGTAATGAGTTGTGGAAAATAGGAGGTTAACATAACTCAAGTCCTCGAACATCTTAGCTCCCACCTCCACACAAAGATACTGCCTTAGACTAAGGCTCAGCAAACTATGGTCCCATTCTGCTCACTGCATGCTTTTATAAATAAAGTTTTACTGGAACTTAGTTGTACCTATTTGTTTACATACGTGATGCGTCTGCTATGAGAGTAGAGTCGAGTAGTTGAAGCAGAGATCCTATAGCTTGCAAAGACTGAGTCATTTACTGTCTGGCCCTTTACAGAAAAAGTTTGCTGATCCCTGCCTTAAGCCAAACATAGTGACTCCACACTGAAGAAAATGTATGACTATTTTCCACGATGATGAAAACAAATGCTACAAAATAAATCACCCCAAACTCTCCAAGTAACACACATTTGAAGTCAAGGTTCCAAAGTGAAGCGCAGTAAACAGTCTGGGGTAAACTTTGCCATTTGAGAGGAAAAATCCACAGTTTATGCCATCTGATCATTTGTTACTAAAAAAAGATTGTGTCAAATGTTGTACAGCTGCCAGGAAGATTCTGAGACTTTGGCATGAAAAAATGATTTATTCACACGCAGCTTTAAACAAACACTGAGCCAATCAAAAAAAACAAAAACCTGTTGCTACTGGGTTGATTCCAACTGATAGCGAGCCTGTAGAGCTACCCTATAGATCCCGAGGAGCGCCTGGTGGATTTGAACTGCCGACCTTCTGGGTAGCAGCCAGACTCTTAACCACTACACCACCAGGGTTTCCAAGCTGACTACTGAGTTCAATTATGATCTGACCAGCCTACTGATACAGTCCAACTTCCTATCTCTTCATAGAGTTTTTAAAAATGTCTGCTAAAACTGCTACCTGGAGTAACAGCGGCAATGTCATTTTCTCATAAAATTAAGGTTATTTCCCATAGGGAAAATCAAAAGCTTGGTTCATTTTCATTCCCATTACATATGATTTATTTTTACATGTCTTTAGCATTTTGAACCTTTTCTAAATTATCCAACTCAAGTTGAACCCCAAGAGTCCCTTACAAAACTTGTTGAGATTGTTCTAAATGATTTTAAGAGCTAAATATCAACTTCTAAAATCTACTAGAAATAAAAAATAATGTGATAGTGCCATTAAAAGAGAATTAAACCATTCTTAAATTGATAGAATTCACGCAAACCACAACTGCTGAATTTCAAGTGAAAACAGCCAGGAGAACATAAAAAGAAACATATTTTTTTTCCCGGTAGAATAATTGTCTAGAGAAAATGATTTTAATAACAAAATAAAATTACACTGCAAAATGTTCATAATTCTGATGCATTTTTACCTAATGGGAAATGGAGGCTTAGGGATTGAGTGATTTTGTAAAGATCATTGGCGATCTGTATTGGTGGAGCCCTGCTGGTGCAGTGGTTAAGAGTTTGGCTGCTAACCAGTAGGTTGGCAGTTTTAATCCACCAGCTGCTCCTTGGAAACCCTACGGGGCAGTTCTACTCTGTCCTTACAGGGTGGCTAGGAGTTAGAATCGACTCACTGGTAATGGGTTGGTTAGTGACAGAAACAAGTTGAAATCACAAGTTCTGTTGGCATCTTAGTATTTTAAAAGGTCGCTTGCTTTTTTACCATTTATGAATTAAATGGGTTGGTCCTTCCATATAACTTCTGGCTCTCTGTAAACAGCCGACCACAAAATGCTAAGGAGCAAGTCAAATTTTAGACTTTTTGTGTGTATATACTTAAAGTCCCTTGCCTTAGTGTTTGAGTTTTAAGAAAATTAGGATTTTTTTTTTGATCTTATGTATCTAAAATGACCTTCACCACTCCATACCAATCTCTCGTCAAGGCTCTGTAGCTCTGGCAGAATAGTATTTTTTTCCATATAAGGTCTTTTTTATAATCCATTATTAAAAACAAAAAAGCAAAAAAAAATAAAAAAACTTTGTGATGGCCATCGTGGCTATGTAACTCTGGAATGTTCTTTTTCGTTCATTAACTCATTCACATTTTCTTAGTTCTTGCTATATGCAGGAAAGATCAGACAACAATAGAGCCAGCATGTCAGGGGAACTGACAGGGAGAGAAAAGAACTGAGAGGCAAAGGCTCCATTTGGTCAACTATTGAAACTATGCAGATAATAAAACTCTGGACCAGTGCAGTGACGATGCGAGGAGGGCTCTCAGCTTTCAGAGCCTGTAGGGGCTTCCAGGACCTCGTCTGACTTCAAGACTCCTAAATCCTCAGCTAGCTTCTCAAGTGCAGGCCTGTGAACTCCCTTCTCCTAAATTTCGCTCGACTTTTACCCTTTCTCTTTTCGCGTATCTTTCAAATGCCAAACCCTCTCTTCCTTACCTACCCTTTTGCCCATGTTCTTCTTCAACTAAATAATTTTGAAGCACAGTCGTTATGGACACTGTTATGGTTGTGCTGCCTTAGTCTGGATATTCATCTGGACTCAGAACTCACCATTATGCGTCAAAGCTTGGCACTCGTTCTAAGAACTCACTTTACCAAGATTAAAAATAAATTAGAATACATGCTGGTCAGAAGCCATATGGGAAGGTAGTAAGCAGTGGATGAAAAATTAGTGCTTGAGTAAATCAATGAAGAGAGGTAATCTCTCTCTTTTAAAAAAGAAATATAGTATAGCAGGGACAGAATAGTATTATTTTTAATTTCAGTGTTATTTTTAACAGGGAAAACCTGAAATTGCTCATAAGCAAAAGTGAAGATGCCACAGAGAGGTAGACATTAAAATAAAGAATCGGGCAAATGAATGCCCAGTTGTTAAATGAAAGCCCTCGAGAAGGTAAAAAAAGTATGAGGAAAGGAAGTATGAAAGAGGATGGTCTTTGGAAAAGTAGAAAAGACACAGGAGGGGAATAGACACTGTTTCCTGTGAGCGAAGAGGTACAGGGAAAATGATAAACGAAGATAAAAAGGTAGTGGAGGGAGAAGGAAGTGGAATAGCTGGATCTCAGTGGTCTTATCTTCTGTGATATAGGAGATAAGATGTCTGCTAAACAGAAGGGAGAAGACATGGGGTTAAGGTCTTATAAAGGGTGCAAATAATTAGAAAAAGCCATTTGAAGAAGGTGATGGGCAGTTAACCAAGCATGAATGTCAGAATTGTGGAGCAGCTGTGAGGCCCCTGATGAGACGGGACAGCACGAGTTTATGGTCAGTGCATGGCAACCTTGCTTCATGGCTCGGCCGTGTTAACAGTAGCACAACCTAACGGTCTTGAGATCACAGACTCATCAGTGGGAAGAACAAAGGAATGAAGCGTTCTGGCGCAGCATGAAGACAGCTGATCATGAGTCTAGACTCTAGCTGAGCAGTGAACAAGTGAAACCATGAAGTGG